GGTGTCAGGAACGGATTAATTGCATTTACATTATTTCTTATGGGGAAAATTGATTCGAAAATCGTCTTTTTCGATAATCATTGCACTTCCAGGAACGGATTAACGACGATAAATGAGGGACCACTGTACTATATGAAATTATTAATCATGTTGTCACAAACACATATGTACACAATTATAGGTGATATTGTGCACCTGGCTGAATCACATTCTATTATCTACAACTATATACAAGGTATTTACATATCCCAGTTATGTTTCTAGTACTCCAGAATTGTATGATACTCCATGAAGCATGGATTCATACAGAGTGCCACCCCACATTGCTGACACATGACACATGACACACAACACACTTTTTCTGAAAATACTTCTTTTTTGGGGTAGACGATAGAGATGTATCGGATATCTACATCCACGGAACATCCACACAATTTCTTTCATCTGCGTCCGCATTTTACTGTAAACAGATATCCGCATATGCATCTGAAAAATAGGTAAGAAAGACATCCTCATGCCATGCACATCCACATCTGCGGATATCTAAATTTTCACATCCATCTCTACTGCCTAGTAGAGATATATTGGATATCCACATCCGCATCCTTGGAACATATGCATAATTTCTTACATCCGCAACCACATTTTACTGTAAACAGATATCTGCATATGCATCCGCAAAATAAGTAAGACATCCTCATACACATCTGCATCCGTAGATATCTAAATTTTCACATCCAATACATCCCCAGTAGACAGTACTGCTATCAGGTAGTGACAGTTAGCGAGGATTCGGTCTGGCTCTTCCTCCACTGGTTGTGGTTGGGGGACAAGACACTGTTGAGGGGCAGGTATAGGTGTGGTACCATACTTTTTTGCTATCTGCTTGATGACATTCAGGCTGAATTCTGCATACCGAAGTCATTTTCCAGTCTTTACTTCATACACATTGAGCAGTGCAATGTCTACATGGTTGAAAAACACTTTCATATACCACTTGTGACTCCTACACACACAGTCAACAAACTCTATCATCATGTCACACTTGTCAACTAGTCGCTGACAGCAACTGGCTTTACAATGCGTTCACTGGTATCCCTGTTCACTTTGTTTGTACCATCTCATTTCTGTTGATGGTTGACAGCAATGTCACTTCCCATTTGTCATGCCACGTCAGTGCCATGATGTCATTGGCATGAAACACTTGCACTGCACCTTCAGCACTGCCTCCACTGAACCTTGGCATATGTTTTCTGTTTCTTCTCACTGTTCCACATATATTAGTATTGTTTACATGTAGGAAATCAGCAAGCATAGGGCTTGTATACCAGTTGTCTGTGAACAACGTATGACCTTGCCAAGGTATGGTCCCATCATCTTGTGAACATCATCATAGGAAATGCCCAACAACCGCCTGTCATCATTGTGTGTGTTTCTCCCGGTGTAGACAATGACATCCAATGCTATGCCATTCTCACGGTTACACATAACAAACAGTTTTATACCAAAGCGATTACGTTTGCTCGGTATATATTGTTTGAATGGCAGTCGTCCCTTAAACAGATTGAAGGACTCGTCAGCAACAATGTTCTTGAATGGATAAAATAGGCACTGAATTTCTGCTTCAGATACATAAACACTTCCCGGATTTTGTATAGGTCATTTCTTGGCCTATTCCTGTCTGAGAAGTGCAACATTCATAGCAACAGAGTGAATCTGCTGCAGGGAAGGAGGTCGCAGAAGACAGGAGTACTGATGAAGTAGTCTGTGGACCAGTACTGTGCTTATACATACGAGGCATAAGCATGACAGTGCCAAGGAACAAATGCATTTTGGCCACAGTTGTATCTTTCCATCTGCGCAGCCATAATGATTCTGCAACATCTGTGTTGTCCATTGTATAGAGGTAGTAACTGTTTGTCTGCGTGACAATCAACTTCATATCGGCTCGTCAAAGTATAATTGGAAAAAGTCCGACTCTGTAGACTCATTCATGACGGGACATTCTGGGAGGATGCCACTTCCATTGGCACGAAAATCAAAAGGATGTGGCACAAATGTTGTACTTTGTGTCCAGTTCCATTCACAGTTACATGGTGCAGGGTGGACCTGTGGAATGGAGCATGGGGGAGGAGGGACGGGAGTAGAGGCAGCACATGGTTGACGGGGTGCCGGGTGGTCCTTTGTCTGCCCACCCACCGCGCCATGCGGCTCAGGCACCATGTCACCCACCACCATTTCCTCCTCTTCCTCCATCCCCGCATATTCTCCTTCATGATCACCCTCACTGTCAGTGGCTGGGGCTTTCGATCATGGCCTCCCACGACCCTTGGGAACTGAATATGGCACACTGCCTAAACGTAGGTGATGACACCTAAACATACGCTTCACTGGGGAATAATGTATATCACTATCACTTGACGAATCATCTAAGGGCATAAAATCAATCTCGTCAACACTTATATCACTTTCACTCTCATCACCAAAAATAACAGAATATGATAATTTCCTCTTGCATAGTAGCCACTGGGTTGTAACTCTGGCCACCCCAGAGGTGCTTGGCTGAGGGTCTGGTGTGGCCACACCAGAAGTGCTTGGCTGAGAGTCTGGTGTGGCCACACCAGAAGTGCTTGACTGAAGGTCTGGTGTGGCACCACTGACCACTCCAGAGGTAATGGCCTGAGGGTCATTTGGGTTATCAATTTTTTCACCAATTCCTTGATTATTTGTGGCCACATCGGTCTCAAAACCACTAAACTCATGTTCTATATCACTTTCCTCGAATAAGTGTGTGTTAACACAATGAGGCGTGAGTGAATCATGAGGGTGTGCCATGGTGTTGACCCAAGATGGTGCTGAAACTAACTGGTGCTACCATGCGGTACTGTGCGGTCCCTGATTTTTTTCATACAGTGCATACTGAGTGCACAGACCCATTCTCTCATGTCTAGGCTGCTCAGGCCTATCATGCCAAATATAAAGGCAGGAAAAAAAAAAAAACGTAGATCTACGTTCTGAGCACTAACGGTAAGAACAGATCTACGTTTGGACAGTTAAGATGTTAAAATTTGAATCAACTAGATCTACATTTTCTAAAAATATCTTTACTATTTGTAATTATTTTGTGGCTTGTCGTAATTTTTTTATTCAGCTTCATGGCATGTCAAGGGCTTTTTTTTTTTTTTATTTATTTTTCCCAATATTGACATAATACCACTGGAAAATACTCTAATTTTTGTTTTACTATACAGTGGACCCCCGCCTTACGAACGCATCGCGTTACGTTAAATCCGCCATACAAAGCATTTGAACGCAAAAATTTTGCCGCGCATCACAATAAAAGACTCACTTTTACGTGATTCGTCCGGGACACGTCCCACGTGTGGCCTCAGCGCCAGTGTTTACAAGCCAGCCAGTGCGGTCGCATCTACGCATACATTCGGTACATTTCACATTATCCCAGTGTTTTTAGTGCTTGTAACTGCAAAATAAGTCACCATGGACCTCAAGAAAGCTTCTAGAGCCATCCCTGTGGTAAAAAGGGCGAGAATTAGTATGGAATTGAAAAAAGAGATTAAGGAAATCTGTGCAAAGTGGGTTGAACTGCAAACCTTTACGGATGAAAATCACCCTGACACAGCTACTGCAAGTCGTGTTGGCAACCTGTACAATGACAATGTTATGGCTCATTTTAGGAAAGTCTTAAAGGAACGGGAGGTACAGAGCTCTATGGACAGATTTGTTGTGCGACAGAGGTCCAGTGACTCTCAAGCTGGTCCTAGTGGCATTAAAAGAAGAAGGGAAGTAACCCTGGAAAAGGACTTGCTACCTCAAGTCTTAATGGAAGGGGATTCCCCTTTTAAACAATAACTTTCACACTCTCCCCTCCTCCCATCCCATCAATCATCACCAGATCTTCAATAAAAGTAAGTGTCATGTATTCTATTCTTAGAAGAGTAGTAATTGTGCATGTCTTCTTCAGTTTGTGTGTATTAAAATTAATATTTCATGTGGTAAAAATTTTTTTTTTTCATACTTTGGGGCGTCAGGAAGGGATTAATTTGATTTCCATTATTTCTTATGGGGAAAATTAATTCGGCTAACGATAATTTTGGCTTACGATGAGCTCTCAGGAACGGATTAATATCGTAAGGCTGGGGTCCATTGTATATACAACAACTATTTCTAAATTTTAAAGTATATCATAACTTAATTAATATTGCATTTATGTGATGTATGAGTTTTTTTTTTTTTTTTCAACAAGTCGGCCATCTCCCACCGAGGCAGGGTGACCCAAAAAAGAAAGAAAATTCCCAAAAAGAAAATACTTTCATCATCATTCAACACTTTCACCACACTCACACATTATCACTGTTTTTGCAGAGGTTCTCAGAATACAACAGTTTAGAAGCATACACATATAAAGATACACAACATATCCCTCCAAACTGCCAATATCCCAAACCCCTCCTTTAAAGTGCAGGCATTGTACTTCCCATTTCCAGGACTCAAGTCTGACTATATGAAAATAACTGGTTTCCCTGAATCCCTTCACTAAATATTACCCTGCTCACACTCCAACAGATCGTCAGGTCCCAAGTACCATTCGTCTCCATTCACTCCTATCTAATATGCTCATGTACGCTTGCTGGAAGTCCAAGCCCCTTGCCCACAAAACCTCCTTTACCCCCTCTCTCCAACCCTTTCGAGGACGACCCCTACCCCGCCTTCCTTCCCCTATAGATTTATATGCTTTCCATGTCATTCTACTTTGATCCATTCTCTCTAAATGACCAAACCACCTCAACAACCCCTCTTCTGCCCTCTGACTAATACTTTTATTAACTCCACACCTTTTCCTAATTTCCACACTCCGAATTTTCTGCATAATATTTACACCACACATTGCCCTTAGTGTCCTGTATAATTTTTTTTACTTCACTTTATTAACTTAACCCAATTCTTTATTACAATAGAGTATTTTGAATAGAATTTTTTCACAAATATCTGTTGATTTAGTTTTTTTGAGTAAGCAAAGAAAGCTTATGAAAGACAAGCAGATATAAAAAGGAATAATCCAGGATCTGGATGGATAAACATGTAGAAAACAATTTGCACAGCCTTATTTGCTCCACACTAGAACCTTTGAAAAATTTAAAAACACTCACTGTATTTTTAGCATATTTAAATGTCCAATCTTTAGCTGTTGCTTCATACTGTGGTTTTTTAGCTGATACTCTTCTGCCTGAAACAAAAACATTGCTATTTGATTTTCAATATCTTATGTGGTTTTAAACTCTTGATTTTAACAGAAAATATACAACAGATTAACTACAATAGTTATTGTTGTGTTCTGGCTTTGAAATAAGCAAGAGTAGAATAACAGATCTTGAATTATAAAATACTTTCAGGAATGGTCAGTTTTAATACTACAAAACATAGGTGCATAAAAATAGGAAGAAAAATAAATAATAAACTGATAAAATATATATAAATAACAAAAAAAGGCACTGACTTGCACTACAAGAATGTACTTACATTTAAAAGTAAAATGAACCTTTACTATATTTTTTATGATTACCTATACCACCCTAATACTTACGATTTCGGTCATTAATGGGTCATGTGGGTTAGGAGAAGCCATGAGCAGACGTATAGAAGTTAGGACACTCGCCAAGTTGTGACCTGGTCGCCAGCTTCCTGATGGCGGTAGCTTTAGTATATCCAAGCAAATTCTTCCTGCAGAGTCAATATTGGGGTGGTATATCTTTGTCAGAAACCGTACTTTAGGTGGGAGGAATGGATATCTGAAAATAAAATTTCATTAGCTTTGTTAAATACAAGGTACAGGTATGTTGCATTCTGGAAAAAATAAATTAAGTTGATCTGCCAAAAGTCTGACTAGCTGCTTCAGATATACATGCTATATGATAAATAATTCAGACATCATCCAGTAAATGATTACTGCCAGATTTCAAATTAACCCTTCGACTGTTTACGTTGTATATATACGTTTTATGCGCCACTGTTTCTGACGTATTTAAACGTGTAAATTCTAGCGGCTTCAAATCAAGCAGGAGAAAGCTGGTAGGCCCACATGTGAGAGAATGGGTCTGTGTGGTCAGTGTGCACCACATAAAAAAAATCCTGCAGCATGCAGTGCATAATGAGAAAAAAAAAAAATGACCGTTTTTTTGGATTAAAACTCCGACTTTGAGGTGTACACCTACCATCCGACTTACGACCTGCTCGACTTTGACCACTCGACTTACAACCGTGTTTTTTATGAAATTTCTGGGAAATAAACAACTATTTGTGTTGTACAGTGTTTATCCTAAACCTTACAGTATAAAATACAGTACTAACAGCATAAAAAGTAAAGTAAAACATGAAATACCAAAATAATACAATAAAATAGTCATTACAAAAATTTTTTGTTGATATTCAGTAGTAAAGTTCGACTTACGACCATTTCGACTTACGACTGGTTTCTCGGAACCGAACTCAGTCGTAAGTCGGATGGTAGGTGTATTTTCGTATAGTGTTTCGGACGTATTAATACGCATAAATTATAGCGGCTTCAAATCAAGCAGGAGAAAGCTGGTAGGGCCACATGTGAGAGAATGGGTCTGTGTGGTCAATGTGCCCTACATAAAAAAATTCTGCAGCATGCAGTGATAATGAGAAAAAAAATACTGACCGTTTTTTTGGATTAAAATGCCGACTTTGAGGTGTATTTTCGTATAGTATTTATCGTTGTATTCTCGTTTTCATGGTCTCAGGTGATAAAATGGAAAACATATTACAGAAATAGAGATGATTTTCATTACTTTCATGATGAAAACGACCTTGAAATTGAGCTCAAAGTAGCGGAAATGGTCGATTTTTACCAATGTTCAGGAGTAAGCAAATTACACCACACGTCCAATACACGTCAACTGGGAAGTATAATATTCTTTCACTAGTGCACTAATATTATTTATACCATTTTTACAATAATGCAGTAGTCTGCATAACAGTAAATTTTTTATTTTTTGTATGAATAAAAAATCAAAATAGAAAGCAATAGTAATATAAGAGGGGCCTAGAGACGTGACTAATGAACAGAGGGTATGTTATTTTAGTGCCAAGAATGTCTACATTGTTTATTCTGGACCCTATTTTGAAATTGGCATCTTTTTTAATTTGCATGAAATTGGCCAAATTGCCAATTTCTGACCACTTTATTGAGTAGTTCAAATCGGTAAATGGGCGATTTCTTGTACTCAACTGATAGAAAAATGGAGTTCTAAAGAAATAGCTATGAGTTTGGTCAACTGGAACAACGGAATTGGCCAAAAACAGGGCTCAAAGTCAGCGAAATTGCCGATGCGTATATGTCGCTGAGACTGCTAACTTCGCGGGAGCGTAATTCCGTGAATTTTCGACCAAATTTCGTACTTTTGGTGTCATTACCATCAGGAAAAGATTCTCTATCATTTCATAAGAAAAAATTATTTTTATTTTTCCAAAACTTTTGCGACATAGAATGACAGTTTCAGAAAGGGGTTTGCGACTGTCAAAGGGTTAAGTGTTAAACTATATAAGAAATATAACTTGAGAATGATCTCTTTCAAGTAGATGATTATGGGTGAAGCTAAGAGGTTCAAAAACTAACTGGTTCCTAAGTTCCCAGTTTGAAATTGTTGATGTATGTAACTAGGGACATCACAAGATGGGGAATATTATTCTCATACCACTGTATAGGATATGTGTTGAAATATGTCTCTTTGAAATTAACAAAGTCCCTATTGGGATGTCACAGAACTCCCAGTTATAGTATGTACCAGTTTAAGATAAATCTTTGTACCTCTCAAAATTTTTACTCTGCTTTTCTGTAAAGAAAATGAGTTTCTCTGAAATATAGCATTTAAATTTTTTAACAAGTTGCATGATGTTGAAAGTGCACTATCAGCAATTCCCTAAATGACAATCATTATTAGCAATTACAATTCTCAAACTGAGTTTATATTTTAAGTAAACAATTGCCAAGAAGACTACTGGTACTACTACCTTACCTTTCAGGGACTTCCACTTCAAGTTTGAACATCCCTCCAGCATACACTGTATCTTCATCTCCAACAATTACTGCAAATATAATATAAAGTCCGTCAAATATAAAAAAATATAAAACAGAAAAATAATCAGCATTGCAAGTGATTTTGTGAGGGGGATAACACATTATAAAATTTACAGAAGTGTTAAAGATGTCTACAGTAAATCTTTCTTTCTTTCAACACATCGGCCGTATCCCACCGAGGCGGGGTGGCCCAAAAGGAAAAACGAAAGTTTCTCCTTTTACATTTAGTAATATATACAGGAGAAGAGGTTACTAGCCCCTTGCTCCCGGCATTTTAGTTGCCTCCTACAACACGCATGGCTTACGGAGGGAGAATTCTGTTCCACTTCCCCAAGGAGGTAAGAGAAAATAAACAACAAGAACAAGAACTAGTAAGAAAATATTAGAAAACCCAGAGGGGTGTGTATATATATGCTTGTACATGTATGTGTAGTGTGACCTAAGTGTAAGTAGAAGTAGCAAGACATACCTGAAATCTTGCATGTTTAATGAGACAGAAAAATGGACACCAGCAATCCTACCATCATGTAAAACAATTACAGGCTTCCGTTTTACACTCACTTGACAGGACGGTAGTACTACCTTCCTGGGCGGTTGCTGTCTACCAACCTACTACCTATATCTACAGTAAATAACAGTATGATATACAGTAAATGGAAGTGTGGGAATAACCCCAGAACAATAATTACTAAACTTTTTTTACTATGACCTAAATTTTAAATCACATTCACCTTGCAACTCAAATGATACTGGTACTACTTAGAATCCCAGCAAACTATTGTGCATTAATAGCATGATAGCAGATACAATATTGGAAAAAAAAAATTATGGATACAACAGCTCTATTGCTTCTTGGGCCATGATCTGGGTCTGGGAACTACTGCTTGACAACATATGGAACCTCCAGATGAATCCAAGGCATTGATTTGACTCCTATAGGTTAAGCGCTCACCCATGAATATAATCATGATAAATTCAGGATTTAAACTTGCACATTTTAACGTTTCATAATTTGGCCAACTTTTTGAAATTTAGCTAAGAGTGCAGAATTACAGATACAGTATTTCATTACAAAATATGTAGAAACTTAATAAATGTTTCACTTTAGTTTTTACAGTGAGGCAAAATTATAAACAAGTTATTAAATTTATTAACATTCAAATTCAAATTCAAATTCAAAGTTTATTCTCTATAAAGATTACAATGTTGAATTTACAGAATTTGGTTGTTGTGTGGTTTACATGTAGTTAAATAATGATTACAGAGTGTACCACTAGAATGCCTAGCATGGCTAGGCATTTCGGGCAGACTTAGTTTAATTCTTTATTTTAAAATATTACAAATTATGAGGTAAGTTGGTATTATGGCTAAGTGACTAAATACTAGTTTGTGAGTTTAGCAATGTGAATGCTTTTGTTTTGACACAGTACATAGTTTCAGTATTGGAGTATCATAGGATTCATTATTTTAAGATTGAGATTAATATTTCTGTTTATGGTCAAATGAGTGAGTGTAAGTGTGAACCACCAGGTGGTATTCGTGTAGTTAGTTGATGGGGTTTATCAGGGAGATAAGATGTTTTCTAATGGTAGTTTTGAAGGTGATGAATGTGTCTGCAGTTCTAGAGTTCTCAGGTAAGGTGTTTCAGATTTTAGGGCCTTTGACATACATTGAATTTTTGTAAAGGTTTAGTCGGACATGGGGAATGTCGTAGAGATGTTTGTGTCTGGTGTTGTGCCTGTGGGTTCTGTCACAACTATCAAGAAAGCGTTTTAGGTCAAGCTTGATATTGGATTTTAAGGTCCTGTAGATGTAGATTGCACAGTAGTAAGTGTGGATGTACTGAACAGGGAGTAAGTTTAGATCTATGAAGAGTGGGGGGTGTGTTGCCAGGGATGGGATTTAGTGATTATTCTTACTGCAGCTTTTTGTTGGGTTATTATTGGCTTTAGGTGTGTTGCTGCAGTTGATCCCCAAGCACAAATAGCATAGGTGAGGTATGGATAAATAAGTGAGTGGTATAGTGTGAGAAGGGCATTTTGCGGCACGTAGTATCGTATCTTGGAGAGGATCCCAACCGTTTTGGATACTTTTTTGGTTATATGCTGGATATGGGTGCTGAAATTCAGGTTGTTGTCAAGGTATAGGCCTAGGAATTTGCCCTCATTATGTCTGGTAATTAGAGTGTTGTCGATCTTAATGTTAATTTGTGCATCTCCTGCTCTGCTACCAAACATAATATAGTAGGTTTTGTCAGTGTTAAGCGTAAGTTTATTGGCTGTCATCCAAGTCGATATTTTGATCAGCTCCTCGTTAACAATGATGTTGAGGGTGGCAAGATTAGGGTGAGAGATGACATAAGTCATGTCGTCAGCAAAGAGAATGGGTTTCAGGTGTTGGGATACGTTTGGAAGATCACTGATGTATATGAGGAAGAGCAGGGGACCAAGGACACTTCCCTGCGGAACTCCAGTATCAAGTGGCCGTGTTGTTGATGCTGTCTTTAATGGTAACATACTGATACCTATTAGTAAGATAAGATTTGAAATAAGCAAGCGCATGGCCTCTTATACCGTAATGGTCAAGTTTGTGGAGTAGGATGTCGTGGTCTACTGTGTCAAAAGCTTTTCTTAGGTCAATAAAAATTCCTAGTGGATATTCCTTATTTTCCAATGCTGTGTAAAGCAGATCTAGCATTTTTATGATTGCATCATTAGTGCTTTTATTTTTCCTAAATCCAAATTGGCAGGGGTTGAGTATGTTTTGTGCTGTTATAAATGAATATAGTCTCCTGTGCACGAGTTTCTCAAAGATTTTGGATAGCAATGGTAAGTTTGATATTGGCCTATAGTTGTTTAAGTCTGTAGGGTCACCACCTTTATGTATTGGTGTAACCCTTGCCATCTTGAGTAGTTTCGGGAAGGTGCTAGTTTCTAGTGACTTGTTAAAAAGTAATGAAATATCATGCGAAAGGATATGGGCTGCTCGCTTGTACAGTAATGGTGGGACATTAGACAGATTCCCTGAGTTGTTTTTAAGCGACTTTATAATCTCGGTGACTTCCGAGGGCTCAGTTGGTGCAAGATAGAAGGAATTTGGGAAATTCCCATCTAGGTAGTCCCCGGCATGGGCATTAGTATGTGGGATTTTATTGGCGAGATTAGATCCAATGGTTGAGAAGAAGTCGTTTATCTTGTTAGCTGTGTCAGTGGGATGTAGTGGTGTTTCATTAGGTTTAGTTAGGACAATATTCTTGTTTTTTTTCAGTCTGTGGGTCCCTAGAATCTGAGAGTGTGTTTTCCAGGTCTTTTTTATATCTCCTCTAGTGTCTGTGAATCTACTGGAGTAGTATAGTTGTTTGGCTTTCTTTATTACTTTGGTGAGAACTGATGAATAGTGTTTAAGAATATCTTTGTGTATTAAGCCCTGTCTATATTGCTTTTCATATTGGTGTTTCTTGTCAATGGATTTCAGAATGGTGCTGGTTAGCCATGGGCAACCAAGCCGTTTGTTTGTGATCTGTTTCGTTTTTATAGGACAATGTTTGTTGTGTAGTCTAAGTAATTTGTTAAGAAAAATGTCTGTCCAGTCATCAATACCATTGGCCTTGGAGAATTCTGTAGGTCAGTCAACAATCTCTAGGTCAGTTGTGAACTTCCTTATTGAGGCCTCGTCATGGAGTCTAAATGAGACTTTGTTGTATTCAAGTGGTGGTTTATTAATGTTTGTCAGGAGGAAGGTAGGGTAGTGGTCTGTAGTGCTATCTGTGATTATCCCTGATTTAAGGGGGGCTGAAATTAATCCAAGACTACTGTTCAGCGTAAATGTTAACTTTGAAATAACATACTGTACACAATCAAATTAGATTTATACATGTATAATGTATTCTGATTATTCAAAGTTAAAACTGCATAAGCCTTTAACCCTTAAACTGTCCAAACATAGATCTACGTTTTTTCAACATTTGAAAGTATGTAAAAAAACGTAGATCTTCTTTTCTTTTTTTTACATTTGAAAACGTGTAAAAAAAACTGTGATCTTTTTTTTTGTTATATTTGAAAATATGTAAAAAAAACGTAGATCTACTTTTGGAGCACTACACATGTGAACGTAAATTTGTTTGGACAGTTTAAGGGTTAAGTCCATAATCTACAATAAATTACTGTACCTGCACTGAACACATCAAGTTTGTCTCCTTCAGGCCAACATGACACACCAGCTGGGGGAGACTGCTGTAATTGCTGGCATTCTCGTTTCAACCGACCCAACCGCTGTGCCATTTTACTATTAAATCTAAAAATACAAAGCATATATTAGTTTACATTACTGGCACATGAAAAATGGCTTTCCAGCTTTATACACAATTACAAAATAGAATTACAATTCCCATTCTTTAGACAATTACAGACTGCCTAGGCATTTCTGCTCGAAATGCCGAGGCATGCTAGTGGCTTTCTTTGTACTTTATATATTGTAATATGTAGACTGCAAATTGTAAACTTTACAAAGGAATACAATTTTGAATTTTGAATTTAAATTTTGAACTTGGCAAAATTTTGTCAACCTGTCTCTGACATTTCCACCTTTGTTACAACTGTGACATTTGGTTGTGCATGCTTTCTGCTTGCACAACTAAATGTTGCCCATCTCTGTACAAACACTGCATCATGCTGAAATTATTATTATCTCTCATTTCTTAACAGAATGATATGCTATATCGCTTGTAACCCCATCCTTTCAACCAATGTCCTTCCCTCAATGATGCCACCTCCTTCTCATCTCTTTTTTCTCTGCTGTGCCATCCTGAAAGACACACATGTATGGTTTTCCATGATTAAATTAATTTTAACCATTTAAAGCTTCTGCATGCCTAACTTGTAATGACTAGCAAACTCATAAAACACAAGTTTAAACAACTTGTGATATTGATACCTTCCAGTATTTATTTTAACATATTGACCATCTCTCACTGACACAGTATTGTCAATAGAAAATTAAACATGTTGGTCACTTGATATGGAACCAAACTAAATAATCAATATTGTACACGACTTTTTCAAACTCTGTTGCAAGAGTTAAAGGAACATCTCTTGATATTTGCTATAAAAAATGATGTCACTATGGTGGTGTTTTATTCCTCAATTAATGGTGCATGAGAAAAAGTATTATAATTATAATAAAAAAGAAGCGCTAAATCCCTAGGGTCATAGAGCGATGAGGAAGAAAAATAGAAGGTAATACAGTAAATACAAAATAATTTATCTCCAAGACAATTTATTTATCTTTGCTCATTCAAGCAAAGACTCTTCTTCTGAATGTATTTACTTGGACTTCCTCCTTTTTTGTGCAACATTGCAAGCTCCTGAAACAGTAAACCTCTTCAGTCAAATACAAAGGGAGCAGTAGTAATGAAATAAAGATGATGTAATCAGTCCATCAACCCTGGAAAAAAACTATTTGAGGAGGTCAATTCCTCAGCCTGGAGAAGCTCCATGGAGCTGAACTCTTCTCTAGGCTGAGGGATTTACCACCTCAAATACTTTTTCTCCAAGGATGATGGACTGATTACATCTTTATTTCATTACTACCATTCCCTTTGTATTTGACGAAGAAGCCTATTGTGCAGGCAAAACATTTCATCAATAAAGATACCCAACTGTTGCACGTCTTAATCTTCAACTTGTTGGTCGGTATTTTACAGCATTTTCAACAAACAACATTGCAAGCTCCTGATGATGTGGTAACTAACAGGAAAGGCCTAGAGCTATCATTTAACTTCCCTCATCTTGTATCGCTTGACTCAAGAAATCGTAATGGCACAATTGCAAACAAACCACAGTATGGGTGGGGATTGAGCTTGCGGCGAGTCGTAAAACTACAGGCCGGTGTGTTAGCCGCTGGGCCAGCTGGCCCAGAGGCTAACGCGTGTCATTACAATTTCTTAAGTCATGATGGCGGCTTTGAGGAGACTTGAGTTAGAGTTCGTAATGGCCACGCTAGCGGGAGATTCATCTGTCAAAATTTGCATTTGTGGTCACAGTGGTGCCTATGCTAACCTTCCTATGGTGTATAAATATACCTAGTTGGATGAATCTTATTGTAGCCAGCTGGCCCAGTGGCTAACATGGTGGTCTGGAGTTTTACGAGTCACTCATTGTGAATTCAATCCCTACCCGTACTGTGGTTTGTATCGCTTGTTGGCAATTTTGTTATCACTGGTCATAAAACTCACTCGAGTCCTAAAGGTCACTTACTCTAGTCCTAAAGCTCACTCATTCGAGCCCTAAAGGTCACTTACTCGAGTCCTAAAGCTCACTCATTCGAGTCCTAAAGGTCACTCGACTCGTAAAATTCACTTGTGACGGGTTTAAGGCCCACCAGCTGCGTTATTTAACGTAAAAAGTGAGTAAGAGACCTGACCCGAGGCAGCTAGAAGACTGGCTAGTGCGTCTTTGTTTACCTCCGATGCGTCATTGTTTCTTACATTCGAAAATAAATTTATTACCATTTATTACCATTTTCTCCCTCCTGAAATAATAATTTCCGCGGGAGATAACAGCCTGTGTTGGAGTATAAAATAGCTTGCTTGTAGCTTAAAAAAAAAAATTAGTGATTTCTCAAAAAGCCTTGGTTTCCATTTTAGTCATAAGCTTCTATATAGAGGCCCATAGTATAAGCTTTAGAAATTTATAACCATAAATTGGTTTAAAAAGACACTTGAACAAACATTAGGGCATATTTATTAGACAACGTTTCGGTCCTGGTACCGAAACGTTTTCTAATAAATATGTCCTAGTGTTTGTTCACGTGTCTTTAGTAAGTTTATTTAGATACAGGTGGACATAAATATAAGTATCATATTGGGTAAACTACCTTGGATAACCCATAAAAGTCAAAGTCACTAATTTCCATTGGGGTCTTTTATAATCAATAGAAACCCATGGCTTTCATGGGGGAAGGGGGAATAATCGTAAATGATTCTTAATTCAAGGAGTTGAAGGTATTTCTCATGAATATAACAATTTATTAGGGGACATAATATAGCAATTCAAATTAACACGAACGTAAAAAAATAAAGACGTAACTTATTTTTTAAGCAAGCTATATTTGCATTTCAAGATTTCAAGTATTTCGTAATTGCATTCAATAGATCATAGCTATTTTGTACTTCTCTTTATATTAATATTTAACAAATTTTCCCGTCAAGGGAGGAGGATGTCTTGATACTGGTAAAGAGTCCTTAACCCGAGAAATCGGACCTATCCTCCCGTTCCAAGGATCAAACCTAATTTTCCAAGCACTATATGATACTTATTGACTCTTCCCTTCACCATTAACATAACAATTAAAACAATTTTCGTTAACATGAATGCATGAGTGAAGCTTAGCCAATCAGAGTCAATCATGACCAGCCAATCAGCAGGCAGGATTCTTGAGCATCAAAACATTGAGAATTTTGAACCTGTGTGATGGTAAGATGACATCTTATGATGTCTTCTGATACCCACATGACCTTGGCTGCTATATATAGCTTCAGTGTAGTAATGCTGTGCCCGCTTCACTTAGTTATACTCATGTGGTTGTTTGTATTTTAAAGGAATAAAGACTTGGGACTCGTCATTTTTTGGAGGATGTGATGGTTCTCGATTTACATACATATTTTACTACATCAGTTTAGTTTATGCCTATTATATGTTTTTTTTGCATTGCTGTTATGTCAGGAATCTGATGCCATAAGCCTTAAGGTTGGAATGCCTCTAAATATATTAGTGATTTGTAACAGGTGTGAAACAAAGTTTGTATTTAGGCTTATTATAGACACAAAAGTACAGCATTTATATTTATAGCCTTTAAGGAAAGGTTTCTTAGTGTCAGTGAGGAGTTTCTGATCCGAGGAATAAGGCCTCTTTCCTTGGATCAAATGTAAATGCCTCCCATTTTCCTAGATGCTGTATAATAATAGCTGTATAGCCCTTGTGGCTTAGCGCTTCTTTTTGATTATAATAATAATATGTTTATTTACTACCAGTACATGTACAAGGTATACAGACCATAGCTGACATCAGTGACATACTACTATGTAGAAAGCCTCTTGTTATGCTGAGCATTTCCCGCAAATTAGATCAGTTTTATCCAGGATGCGACCCACATCAGTCGACTATCGCCCAGGTACCCATTATACTGATGGGTGAACATAGACAACTGTTGTAAAGAAACACGCTTAATGTTTCTACCCTCCCTGGGAATTCAACCCAGACCCTCGCCGTGTGAAGCGAGAGCTTTAGTCACCAGGCCACGGGGCACCGTCCTATGAGTTTAGTGCTTCCCCATGAAATAAAAAATGTAGAGTTAACCTAGGATAACCCAATAAGATCATTGTGAATTATTTCCATTGGGTTGGTCTTATCTGTGGAAGTCAGCATATACAGTGGACCCTCGACCAGCGATGGCATCGATTAACGATAAATCTGACTAGCGATACATTTTATCGCAAAAATTTTGCCTCGATTAGCGCTAAAAAACTCGACCAACACTATTCCTTCCGTCTGAGACGCGTCCACTTCTGGCCAGTGTTTACAAGCCAGCCAGCCACCGCAGTCGCTTCCAAGCATACAATCGGAACATTTCATATTATCACAGCCTTTTTAGTGATTGCACCTGCAAAATAAGTCACCATGGGCCCCAAGAAAGCTTCTAGTGCCAACCCTACAGCAAAAAGGGTGAGAATTACTATGGATATGAAGAAAGAGATAATTGCTAAGTATGAAAGTGGAGTGCATGTCTCCGAGCTGGCCAGGCTGTACACAAAACCCCAATCAACCATCGCTGCTATTGTGGCCAAGAAAACGGCAATCAAGGAAGCTGTTCTTGCCAAAGGTGCAACTATGTTTTCGAAACTGAGATCGCAAGTGATAGAAGATGTTGAGAGACTGTTATTGGTATGGATAAACGAAAAACAGATAGCAGGAGATAGCATCTCTCAAGCGATCATATGTGAAAAGGCTAGGAAGTTGCATGACGATTTAATTAGAAAAATGCCAGCAACTAGTGGTGATGTGAGTGAATTTAAGGCCAGCAAAGGTTGGTTTGAGAGATTTAAGAATCGTAGTGGCATACATAGTGTGATAAGGCATGGTGAGGCTGCCAGTTTGGACCAAAAAGCAGCTGAAAAATATGTGCAGGAATTCAAGGAGTACATAAACAGTGAAGGACTGAAACCTGAACAAGTGTTTAATGGTGACACTGACAATGTTGTGAAACACGTTAGGAATGTCATAAAGGAACGGGAGGTACAGGCCTCTATGGGCAGATATGTTGTGCGACAGAGGTCCAGTGACTCTCAAGCTGGTCCTAGTGGCATTAAAAGAAGGGAAGTAACCCCAAAAAAGGACTTGCCACCTCAAGTCCTAATGGAAGGGGATTCCCCTTCTAAACACTAAGACCATCAACACACTCCCCTCTTCCCATCCCATCAATCATCACCAGATCTTCAATAAAGGTAAGTGTCATGTAACTGTGCATGTCTTCTTCAGTTTGTGTGTATTAAAATTAATATTTCATGTGTTAAAATTTTTTTTTTTTCAATACTTTTGGGTGTCTTGCACAGATTAATTTGATTTCCATTATTTCTTATGGGGAAAATTAACTTGACTAACGATTATTTTGACTAACGATGAGCTCTCAGGAACGGATTAATAGCGTTAGTCGAGGGTCCACTGTATAATAATAATATTAATAATGATCTTTTTTTCTAAAAAGTATTTTATACAATTGATATAGGATTAGATGACATTATTGGCATACTTTCTAAAAAGCCCCTAGTTATGCAGAGCATTTTGGGCAGTCTTACAATTAAATTGTAATTACTGGAGGGTCATATGATTAAGGTGGTTTATGTGAACGCTAAAGTTTGCACTTGATATGTAATCATATTTATTTTGTAGAACTGACACACCAATGGCACCCAAACGAAAGCCAGGCAGGGAAGGAAAACGGTCATCGAAAGGCACTGGTGAGAAGCCATCTCCTAAGAATTTGAGCCAGCTATCAACATCGAAGAAACAAACACCAGCAAGAAATGCAACCCCAAGCCCCAGAACCAGGAAACAAACACAAGAGTCTCTGAGAGGCAGTAGAAATTCTCAGAATGCACCGGTTCAAAAGTATGCAACACCATCACAAGTAAGTTTAATCTAGCACTACTTATATATGTAATATAAAATGGTAATATGTATACAGACAATATGATAATAATGACAGTATGTGGATTATGGTATTTTATCAGAAGGCATTTTTTCCAGCAGGAACTTTTATTAATTCATACAGATACAAGGAAAACATGAGGTTATATATATCTTCATATTTTGCTTGTCTGTATGAACTGTTCAAGTTCCTGGTGGATGAAATGTTCTCTAATAAAATACTGTAACACACATTGCGTCATCATCCTATCAGTACTTCTGATGCCTTTTTTTCTTCTTCTACAAGCATACTATGAGGGTGGTCATATGCAGTTGTTCTGTACTGTACTTCCCAACTTCCAAATCTCAAGTCTGGCTATCTGGTTTCTTTAAATTTCTCTATAGATACTGTTCTATGTTATGTATTTGGGTCATATCCCAAGAGCACATCAAATTCCATTAACCATTTGAAAATACTAGACATATAACTGAGTCACCAATCTTTAATTACAGGAATAGAGCATTCATGGTACAATATCTTGTTTGTTTTATTAAATTATTTGAATTATTTAATTGACGATTTCCCTTTTGGAATTGTTAACGAACAGAGACTACTTGAATGGTCATGACTAAGAGGTTTTTCCAGTGACAAGTACTGCAATTTGCGCTTGTGTTAGACAACAACATTAGCACGTGTCCAGATAGCCTCCTTGTGTTCTTTTGTTGTTGAAAACAAGATAATCTCAAATCAAACATCTTCAGAATCCTCATGTGCTGTTTGCTTTATAAATTGGTTTGGCAGTTATTTTTTATCAGATGATCAAGGTTGTCTACATATTGGTTAGCAACACCACAAATTGCAAATAGAATTACACTTCTAATTGTACATGCCTGCTAACTTGCAAATAGCAAGCCAAGCAAGGGTGTGTGTTGGGAGGATTGACTACTGCTCCTGGGATCAATGTGTGTAAAAAAAAAAATCCACCTTACCTGGAATTGCTGGAGAATTTCAGATACTGGATATTGGAGATGGATAGAGCAAGTGAAATTCTTTTGTTGTAGTGTTTGCAGCCATATAGACACCAGATTTATGAAGTTTGATTGTACAGTAAACCCTTGATTTAGAGGAGTAAGAGAGGGTAGCTAGTGGCCAGTAATAACAGTTGTGATCATAAAAATTATGGACAGTTGTTTAACTAATGGATTTTTCCAGTTGTTTCTGAATCGGTTGACCCAGAGAATTTTGTTCTGTATTTCCAAAACCCATTAAATCGAGATCCGTTTAATCAGTGGTTTACTGTAATGTGCTTATATTATCTGAAAATGTAATTGTCAGGGTTCAGTATATATACTGCACTGGTAGATTAGACATAATTCTTAGATTTATAGGGCAGTTATTACCATGTTAAATTTCAGGACACTGGATGATTCATATGTTTTCAGATCAAATTTTCTAGTTTAGAGCAAACCTTATTTCATAAATTATATAAACTATGTTTCATCCTTGAAAAAATCTTTGAATATAACTGTTTTGCAGGAAGAGACTCCATTACAAAAAGGAACTCCAGTCACTCCAAGATCATCTGGAAGGTATGTACATTATATGGAAAAACTGATATATAGCACTTTTGTGTAAGTTACTAATGTCTTACTGTATTTTTCTCTCTTTTTTTTTTTTTAACACGGCCATTTCCTTCCGAGGCAGGGTGACCCAAAAAGAAAAAAATCCGAAGAAAAAACTTTCATCATCATTCAACACTTTCACCATCACTCATACATACAGCAAATTATTATATGCCAAAATTCACTAACTAGCTTATTGGGAAATTTTTGATATAAAGTAATAAATAATGGAACATCCAATGACTATTTTGGATTATGCAGTGGTCTACCTACCTGGAATATACCTGGAGGGTATTCCAGGAATCAATGCCCCTGTGGCCCAGTCCATAACCAGGCCTCCTAGTGGATCAGGGCCTGTTCAACTAGGCTGTTACTGCTGGCTGCACATAGTCCATCATACGAATCATAGCCCGGCTGATCCATCACGGACTTTAAGTATCTGTCTTGCTCCCTCTTGAAGGCAGCCAGGGGTCTATTGGTAATTCCCCTTATGCTTGGTGGGAGGCTGTTGAACAGTCTTGGGTCCTGGACACTTACTGTGTTTTCTCTTAGTGTACTAATGGTGCCCCTATTTTTTATTGGGGGTATGTTACACCACCTGCCAAGTCTTTCGCTTTTGTATGGAGTGATTTCTGTGTGCAGATTAGGGACCAGTCCCTCTAGGATTTTCCAGGTGTAGATTATAATGCAAATCTCTTGCCTGCATTCCAAAGGCATTGTACAAACATACGTACTATCAGAAGCACATTTCACCTCTTTTTTTTTATTAATGTTTACACTTATTAAAGACACATTTGGAATAAATTGTTTTCACTCTTAATTTTTTGAAAATGAATGGAATGTATATGAGGAGTAGCCATGCTAGAGGCCTTCCTTGTAATTAATGTTTTATAATATGTAGGTAGTAGGTTGGTAGACAGCAACCACCCAGGGAAGTACTACCGTCCTGCCAGATGACTGTGAAACAGAAACCTGTAACTGTTTTGCATGATGGTAGGATTGCTGGTGTCTTTTTCTGTCTCATAAACACGCTAGATAACAGGGATATCTTGCTACTCCAACTTACACTTTGGTCACACTTCACAGACATGCACATGCATATATATATACATACATCTAGGTTTTTCTCCTTTTTCTACATAGCTCTTGTTCTTCTTTATTTCTTCTATTGTCCATGGGGAAGTGGAAAAGAATCTTTCCTCCGTAAGCCATGCGTGTCGTATGAGGCGACTAAAATGCCGGGAGCAATGGGCTAGTAACCCCTTTTCCTGTAGACATTTACTAAAAAAGAGAAGAAGAAAAACTTTATAAAACTGGGATGCTTAAATGTGCGTGGATGTAGTGCAGATGACAAGAAACAGATGATTGCTGATGTTATGAATGAAAAGAAGTTGGATGTCCTGGCCCTAAGCGAAACAAAGCTAAAGGGGGTAGGGGAGTTTCAGTGGGGGGAAATAAATGGGATTAAATCTGGAGTATCTGAGAGAGTTAGAGCAAAGGAAGGGGTAGCAGTAATGTTGAATGATCAGTTATGGAAGGAGAAAAGAGAATATGAATGTGTAAATGCAAGAATTATGTGGATTAAAGTAAAGGGTTGGATGCGAGAAGTGGGTCATAATAAGCGTGTATGCACCTGGAGAAGAGAGGAATGCAGAGGAGGAGAGAGAGATTTTGGGAGATGTTAAGTGAATGTATAGGAGCCTTTGAACCAAGTGAGAGAGTAATTGTGGTAGGGGACCTGAATGCTAAAGTAGGAGAAACTTTTAGAGAGGGTGTGGTAGGTAAGTTTGGGGTGCCAGGTGTAAATGATAATGGGAGCCCTTTGATTGAACTTTGTATAGAAAGGGGTTTAGTTATAGGTAATACATATTTTAAGAAAAAGAGGGATAAATAAGTATACAAGATATGATGTAGGGTGAAATGACAGTAGTTTGTTGGATTATGTATTGGTAGATAAAAGACTGTTGAGTAGACTTCAGGATGTACATGTTTATAGAGGGGCTACAGATATATCAGATCACTTTCTATGTTGTAGCTACACTGAGAGTAAAAGGTAGATGGGATACAAGGAGAATAGAAGCATCAGGGAAGAGAGAGGTGAAGGTTTATAAACTAAAAGAGGAGGCAGTTAGGAAAGATATAAACAGCTATTGGAGGATAGATGGGCTAATGAGAGCATAGGCAATGGGGTCGAAGAGGTATGGGGTAGGTTTAGAAATGTAGTGTTAGAGTGTTCAGCAGAAGTTTGTGGTTACAGGAAAGTGGTGCGGGAGGGAAGAGGAGCGATTGGTGGAATGATGATGTAAAAGAGAGTAGTAAGGGAGAAAAAGTTAGCATATGAGAAGTTTTTACAAAGTAGAAGTGATGCAAGGAGGGAAGAGTATATGGAGAAAAAGAGAGAGGTTAAGAGAGTGGTGAAGCAATGTAAAAAGAGAGCAAATGAGAGTGGGTGAGATGTTATCAACAAATTTTGTTGAAAATAAGAAAAAGTTTTGGAGTGAGATTAACAAGTTAAGGAAGCCTAGAGAACAAATGGATTTGTCAGTTAAAAATAGGAGAGGAGAGTTATTAAATGGAGAGTTAGAGGTATTGGGAAGATGGAGGGAATATTTTGAGGAATTGTTTAAATGTTGATGAAGATAGGGAAGCTGTGATTTCGTGTATAGGGCAAGGAGGAATAACATCTTGTAGGAGTGAGGAAGAGCCAGTTGTGAGTGTGGGGGAAGTTCGTGAGGCAATAGGTAAAATGAAAGGGGGTAAGGCAGCCGGGATTGATGGGATAAAGATAGAAATGTAAAAACAGGTGGGGATATAGTTTTGGAGTGGTTGGTGCAATTATTTAATAAATGTATGGAAGAGGGTAAGGTACCTAGGGATTGGCAGAGAGCATGCATAGTTCCTTTGTATAAAGGCAAAGGAGACAAAGAGAGTGCAAAAATTATAGGGGGATAAGTCTGTTGAGTATACCTGGTAAAGTGTATGGTAGAGTTATTATTGAAAGAATTAAAAGTAAGACTGAGAATAGGATAGCATATGAACAAGGAGGCTTTAGGAAGGTAGGGGGTGTGTGGACCAGGTGTTTACAGTGAAACATATAAGTGAACAGTATTTAGATACGGCTAAAGAGGTCTTTGTGGCATTATGGATTTGGAAAAGGCGTATGACAGGGTGGATAGGGGGCAGTGTGGCAGATGTTGCAGGTGTATGGTGTAGGAGGTAGGTTACTGAAAGCAGTGAAGAGTTTTTACGAGGATAGTGAGGCTCAAGTTAGAGTACATAGGAAAGAGGGAAATTATTTCCCAGTGAAAGTATGCCTTAGACAAGGATGTGTGATGTCACCGTGGTTGTTTAATATATTTATAGATGGGGTTGTAAGAGAAGTAAATGCGAAAGGGCTTGACAAGAGGCGTGGAGCTAAAAGATAAAGAAAACACACATAAAGTGGAGTTGTCACAGTTGCTCTTTGCTGATGACACTGTGCTCTTGGGAGATTCTGAAGAGAAGTTGCAGAGATTGGTGGATGAATTTGGTAGGGTGTGCAAAAGAAGAAAATTAAAAGTGAATACAGGAAAGAGTAAGGTTATGAGGATAACAAAAATATTAGGTGATGAAAGATTGGATATCAGATTGGAGGGAGAGAGTATGGAGGAAGTGAATGTATTCAGATATTTGGGAGTGGATGTGTCAGCGGATGGGTCTATGAAGGATGAGGTGAATCATAGAATTGATGAGGGGAAAAGGGTGAGTGGTGCACTTAGGAGTCTGTGGAGACAAAGAACTTTGTCCTTGGAGGCAAAGAGGGGAATGTATGAGAGTATAGTTTTACCAACACTTATATGGGTGTGAAGCATGGGTGATGAATGTTGCAGCGAGGAGAAGGCTGGAGGCAGTGGAGATGTCATGTCTGAGGGCAATGTGTGGTGTGAATATAATGCAGAGAATTCATAGTTTGGAAGTTAGGAGGAGGTGTGGGATTACCAAAACTGTTGTCCAGAGGGCTGAGGAAGGGTTGTTGAGGTGGTTCGGACATGTAGAGAGAATGGAGCGAAACAGAATGACTTCAAGAGTGTATCAGTCTGTAGTGAAAGGAAGGCGGGGTAGGGGTCGGCCTAGGAAAGGTTGGAGGGAGGGGGTAAAGGAGGTTTTGTGTGCGAGGGGCTTGGACTTCCAGCAGGCGTGCGTGAGCGTGTTTGATAAGAGTGAATGGAGACGAATGGTTTTTAATACTTGACGTGCTGTTGGAGTGTGAGCAAAGTAACATTTATGAAGGGGTTCAGGGAAACCGGCAGGCCGGACTTGAGTCCTGGAGATGGGAAGTACAGTGCCTGCACTCTGAAGGAGGGGTGTTAATGTTGCAGTTTAAAAACTGTAGTGTAAAGCACCCTTCTGGCAAGACAGTGATGGAGTGAATGATGGTGAAAGTTTTTCTTTTTCGGGCCACCCTGCCTTGGTGGGAATCGGCCAGTGTGATAATAAATAAATAAATAAATAATATGTAAACTATACATTGTAAGCTTTGCAAGGAAATACACATTTATTCATAATATGTTTTTATTAATAAAATTCTGTACTGATTAAATTTCTTCCAAGTGCTCTATTGTTAACTATATGCAGATCTATGACAAGAAGAAATAAGCTCATTGGTCCAGCTCCTGGGCCTCATCTCTTACCACTAATTGATTTGTGATGACATTATAATTTTGTTTGCCTTCTCATGGTATATACAGTATTGGTTTTACTGTTGAAGATACTTTCTCATCAGTTTCACTTGTGTGCATATTTCCTTTGACAGATATAACCTTAGGAACATAACTCCACCTTCCTACTCACAAAGACAGTCTAGAGTATTTAACACACCTGGACGAACTCCTGCCAGAAACCCTTCAGCAACACCCTTCAGAACACCGAGATTAAAAACACTAGCTCGTGAAATTGCCCCTGATCTTAAGGTGGCAGAGAAGATGTACAAGGAAGAGTCACAAATTTGGAAACAACATTTAAGATGTAAGTGTATCTTGGATTCATCATGGAATCCATATGTATAGCTTTAAGGCAAATTAAATTGTTGTTAATCACTGCAGTACATAGTGTCCCTATGACTATGAATATACTGATTGCCATTTCCACCAGATATTTTTATCCTTCTACAACTATATACTACATTCGTGAATTATGACTATACTCAACCTTACATTCTTTCACCCTGTTAGCCACCTTATTCTCATCCTACCTTACTGTGCCTGACCAATCATAAGCAACCTCACTTAGTCTGAGATACAGTAATTTATCCTACACTTGATGTAACTTTCATTGCTCAGTATGAACTGGTAAAAGTAGGTTAATTACATTTCTATCAGTGGCAAAGACATTTTCAGGATCATGAACTTAGGTTAAGTTGTAATAAACAACTGTTGATGAATAAACAAGAAGGGAGAGGAATTTGAGCCGTGGTCTTGAATGGTAGCAGGTCTAGCATTTTACTAATGGTGTTAAATTATACCCTTCTCACATAAGCACTGTATATTGATATTTAGAATTCTAATACTTTTTTCAGCATTTCTCCATAAAACACATAAGTTGTGTAACCTGAGCAGTGTCTACAACTTCAATTACAAGACAGATGGTCTTAGAACTAAGTATGAAGGCATTCTAAAAAAAAAAGTAAGTGTAAGATACTTTATTTGTTTTGCTTTTTCCTGTGACATGCTATATTTAGTTTCCAAATAAATTTCTTCCATGTTTACAGATTTTTTTTTTCACCATTGTTGTCTTTCTTTGTGGCATTTATAACAATAAATTTGTATTATTGATACAGCTGGTATGTAATTGAAATGGGAATGGCACTGATTAGGATGTACAATAATTAATGTTTATGGTGGTTAAAAAATATATTAAATGTGAGATGCTAGGCCCCATACAGTTACTAGTGTATGTTAATTATTTGCTATGAGGGTAGAGTTGTGTCTGGTCATGTTTGCAGATGCCAAAATTGTGAAAAGGATACAAACTGAAGGTGACAGTAGGAAGCTACAAGACATAGACACTACAGCAGTGATAAAAAGTTTTAATAGGTTCAACCCCACCAAGTGTAAATTAACGAAATTGTGAGCTGGAGAAAGGAGACAAGAAGCATATTATGTTAAAGCAAAAGACCTAGTAGTCATTATGCCTAAACTAAACCTGTTCCATGGAGTCCTATCATGGGAGGTTCCTTAAAGCTGGTGAAGGGCTCTTGAGCCAAAGAATTGGACATGTTCTTTTCCTTAGATCATTCTTGACTTCATCGCTTCCCCCATGAATATGCATACGTAATGACAACAGTAATAATAATGCTACTAAAGTGCATTTAAATAGACAGATATCAGTATTGCATACCTGGTGACATACTAAAGAAGTCTTTGGAATTCTAGATCTTTTCTAGATAGGTAAAACCATTTCTTAAATATATAGTTCTCATGTGGAACTCTACTGGTCAAAACTAAATTTCAATGTAAATACTGTATGTTATGGATAATATATGTTGGTTCATAGAAAATTAAGAAGTGGGCCCAAGAGTTATAGTTTACCCCACATAAACTCTTATAGGTAAATGCAAAGACAAAATGTAAAAAAAAAAAAAAAAAAAAATGGTGGAGTATGTACTTATAATGATGTTATTTCAAAGTAATGTATTAAATTTGTTGTTATAGGTTCAAGAGGTTTACCCGTCTCCCCTACTGACTGTAAAGTTGGCCACTACTGCTTGCTTTACTCTAAAACCTGGTGCTGTTGATGCTGTCCATATACACATTACTTCCCTTGTTCCTGGCTTAACAGTTGACCAGGATAAGACAGTGACAGTTTACAGTTCGTGGCTGTTTAGAACGTCTCACGTGCAGTGTGCAGATATTCCTGGAATAGAATGGTTCCCTATTATGCTTTATACGGGTATGAAACATGAATTATTATAAATCTTTTGTATTATTATTATGTTATTAAAATGTTTGAAGATGACTGGGTAATTTTCACAAGTAAGGTTTAGCACAAGTAATTTTTTTAATCACATCTTGATACAAATGTTATTTATAATGTTTAATGGATTTGATATACTGTACAGGACAAATCTGCTAATCACAAACTGAACTGTTTATATGTTTGCAGTTTTCTTCCTCTTAGTGTTTTATCTACTTTCCTTTAATGGTTTTCTCCAGGTCAGTGTTTTATCTACTTTCCTTTAATGGTTTTCTCCAGGTCTTTGTTCAAAGGTCTTTCATTATTAAATAATGACACAATGTGTGCAATTTTCCATTTGTCTCCCAGTTTATCTTATGCCTCTACAGTTCTTCTTTCATCCTTCATAGTCTGTATTTGCCTCATTATTTTGCCATCATTTTCATAATAAGAATATGTAGGGGTTAAATCTTGTATCCAGGTCATTTATATATATCAGGAACACTATGGGGCCCAATGCTGATCCTTGTGGAGCTCCACTTGTTACACTAACTTCATGTTTCATTCTTTATAGTGACTTTAGTTTTTTGTTAAAGAATTTCCTTATCCATTTTAATATCTTGTTTTTTACCCTAGCTTGCTCCTTCAGTTTGCTAAGTAGCCATCTATGTGTCATTGCATCAAAATACTATTTATAGTTTCAGAATGTGCAATCCACCCATTCTCTGTCTCTGTCTCTGTCTGTCTCTCTCTCTGTCTCTGTCTCTGTCTGTCTGTCTGTCTCTGTCTGTCTGTCTGTCTGTCTCTGTCTCTGTCTGTCTCTGTCTGTCTGTCTCTGTCTGTCTGTCTCTGTCTCTGTCTGTCTGTCTCTGTCTGTCTGTCTCTGTCTGTCTGTCTCTGTCTGTCTCTGTCTGTCTGTCTCTGTCTCTGTCTGTCTGTCTCTGTCTGTCTGTCTCTGTCTGTCTCTGTCTCTGTCTGTCTGTCTCTGTCTGTCTGTCTCTGTCTGTCTGTCTCTGTCTGTCTGTCTCTGTCTCTGTCTGTCTGTCTCTGTCTCTGTCTCTCTCTGTCTCTGTCTCTCTCTGTCTGTCTCTCTCTGTCTCTGTCTCTCTCTGTCTCTGTCTCTCTCTGTCTCTCTCTGTCTCTCTCTGCCTCTCTCTGCCTCTCTCTGCCTGTCTCTCTCTGCCTCTCTCTGCCTGTCTCTCTCTGCCTGTCTCTCTCTGCCTGTCTCTCTCTGCCTGTCTCTCTCTGCCTGTCTCTCTCTTCCTGTCTCTCTCTGCCTGTCTCTCTCTGCCTGTCTCTCTCTCTCTCTCTCTCTCTGCCTGTTTCTCTCTCTCTCTCTCTCTCTCTGCCTGTCTCTCTCTCTCTCCTCTCTCTCTCTCTCTGCCTCTCTCTCTCTCTCTCTCTCTCTCTCTCTCTCTCTCTCTCTCTCTCTCTCTCTCTCTCTCTCTCTCTCTCTCTCTCTCTCTCTCTCTCTCTCACACACCACACACACACACACACACACACACACACACACACACACACACACACACACACACACATCTAACCTCTGTTAATCTGTCATGTCTCATAAGAGATAAGTACTCACCTTGCTGTGTTTATGGGCAATGAGCATCAGCTCCTGGGGTCATCTTTTACTCATTATTTGACTGGTGTATTAGATTTGAACTACCATCGGATGTACCACATAGGCTTTTCAACCCGTGTGTGACATCATCATTCACCACCTTCTTGTACCTAGTTTCCTCACTTCACAATTCATACATTGGAGACAATTTTTTATATGTCCCTTTAACTCATTTAGTAATTTATTTTTCACCTGTGTCTCATGGTTCTGGTTATATGCTGATACCTGAATATCTTGTACATTGTAGGTATAGCTTCTCTGGATCATTATTCCTTCATTGTCATAAGATTTAGCTGTTTTTCTGTGCTGGTATGTTTTCATGTTTGTGTATGTATTTATCTATCGCTGTTGCTGTGTGAAACCTTTGTAGTGTATATCCTTTTCTGCAAGCTTTCTAGTTTTTTATTTACACAACGGCCCGACTTATACAGCAGGTTAGGTTTCTTGTTACTGCTGTAAAGTGAAAAATCACTGTAAAGTGAAACATAGCTTTTTTTTCACTTTCAAATGCATATAAAAGCCTAAAAGCATGTTCACTATCATATATTAAAAGAGCAATAGAGCTAAACCTAAAAAATGCATCTGCAGTACACACATTACTTTCCTTAAAATACTTTCATCCTTATCTAGTGATGAATATATTTATTGTAAGAAGTCTGAATAAATGAAGAATTTGTATAATTGAAAACCAGTGCATTAACGAAACTCTGTAAAGTGAAGCACTGTAGAGCGGGGTCCACCTGTATTTTATTTTGCACTGCTTCCACCAGTGCATTATCATTCTCTTCTTACATTCATCACCCTTAATTTATACAAGAATAAACATCTCTTCAAAATTTATTGTTAGGATAATGAGCAAATTATCTGAAACTTCCTGTGTATATGCATTCCAACATATTCAGCTGTGGTAGTTAAGATGTTTCTGCCATCAGTCATTGCTGTTGAAGACAAGTTATACATAATGTTAAATGTGGTTTTACACTTTTCATTATTTTATCATACATTTGTATTGACATTTAAATTTTAATTTCAAATATTTCATCCACCTTCCTAGAGGCAGGCCATTTACTTACTTAATTTCTGTACTCTGAAGGAGGAGTGGGGATATTTGCAGTTTTGAACTGTAGTATTGGTACCCTTCTGGTAAGACAGTGATGGAGTGAATGATGGTAAAAGTGTCTTTTTTTTTTTTTTTTTTTTTTTTTTTTTTTTTTTTTTTTTTTTTTTTTTTTTTTTTTTAAGGTTACCCTACCTCAGTGGGAGACAGGTAGAGTGTTCGATAGGAGTGAATGGAGACTAATGGTATTTGGGACCTGACGATCTGTTGGAGTGTGAGCAGGGTAATATTTAGTGAAGGGATTCAGGGAAACCGGTTATTTTTATATAGCCGGACTTGAGTCCTGGAAATAGGAAGTACAATGCCTGCACTATAAAGGAGAGGTTTTGGGATATTAGCAGTTTGGAGGGATATGTTGTGTATCTTTATACGTATATGCTTCTAAACTGTTGTATTCTGAGCACCTCTGCAAAAATAGTGATTATGTGTGAGTGAGGTGAAAGTGTTGAATGATGATGAAAGTATTTTCTTTTTGGGGATTTTCTTTCTTTTTTGGGTCACCCTGCCTCGGTGGGAGACGGCCGACTTGTGGAAAAAAAAAAAATATTATTATTATATTTTTTTTATTATCACACTGGCCGATTCCCACCAAGGCAGGGTGGCCCGAAAAAGAAAAACTTTCACCATCATTCACTCCATCACTGTCTTGCCAGAAGGGTGCTTTACACTACAGTTTTTAAACTGCAACATTACCACCCCACCTACTACCTATATATATATATATAGGTAGTAGGTTGGTAGACAGCAACCGCCCAGGGAGGTACTACCGTCCTGCCAAGTGAGTGTAAAACGAAAGCCTGTAATTGTTTTACATGATGGTAGGATTGCTGGTGTCCATTTTTCTGTCTCATAAACATGCAAGGTTTCAGGCATGTCTTGCTACTTCTACTTACACTTAGGTCACACTACACATACATGTACAAGCATATATATACACACACCCCTCTGGGTTTTCTTCTATTTTCTTACTAGTTCTTGTTCTTGTTTATTTTCTCTTACCTCCGTGGGGAAGTGGAACAGAATTCTTCCACCGTAAGCCATGCGTGTTGTAGGAGGCATCTCCACTGCCTCCAACCATCTCCTTGCTGCTGCATTTACCACCCAAGCTTCACACCCATATAGGAGTGTTGGTACTACTATACTTTCATACATTCCTTTCTTTGCCTCCATAGATAACGTTTTTTGACTCCACATATACCTCAACGCACCACTCACCTTTTTTTCCCTCATCAATTCTATGATTAACCTCATCCTTCATAAATCCATCCACCGACACGTCAACTCCCAAGTATCTGAAAACATTCACTTCTTCCATACTCCTCCTCCCCAATTTGATATCCAATTTTTCTTTATCTAAATCATTTGACACCCTCATCACCTTACTCTTTTCTATGTTCACTTTCAACTTTCTACCTTTACACACATTCCCAAACTCATCCACTAACCTTTGCAATTTTTCTTTAGAATCTCCCATAAGCACAGTATCATCAGCAAAAAGTAACTGTCAATTCCCATTTTGAATTTGATTCCCCAAAATTTAATCCCACCCCTCTCCCGAACACCCTAGCATTTACTTCCTTTACAACCCCATCTATAAATATATTAAACAACCATGGTGACATTACACATCCCTGTCTAAGACCTACTTTTACCGGGAAGTAGTCTCCCTCTCTTCTACACACCCTAATCTGAGCCTCACTATCCTCATAAAAACTCTTTACAGCATTTAATAACTTACCACCTATTCCATATACTTGCAACATCTGTCACATTGCTCCTCTATCCACTCTATCATATGCCTTTTCTAAATCCATAAATGCAATAAAAACTTCCCTACCTTTATCTAAATACTGTTCACATATATGCTTCAATGTAAACACTTGATCTACACATCCCCTACCCACTCTGAAACCTCCTTGCTCATCCGCAATCCTACATTCTGTCTTACCTCTAATTCTTTCAATTATAACGCTACCGTACACTTTTCCTGGTATACTCAGTAAGCTTATTCCTCTATAATTTTTACAGTCTCTTTTGTCCCCTTTCCCTTTATATAAAGGGACTATACATGCTCTCCGCCAATCCCTAGGTTCCTTCCCCTCTTTCATACATTTATTAAACAAAAGTACCAACCACTCCAACACTATATCCCCCCCTGCTTTTAACATTTCTGTCATGATCCCATCAGTTCCAACTGCTTTACCCCCTTTCATTTTACGTAATGCCTCACGTACCTCCCCCACACTTACATTC